AAGATGGCACCGGTTAAGATGTCGAACAAAAGCGCAATTGCGAGAGTTGGCTGAATCACTGCATTCGGAATAACATTGATGGATGGATGATATGAGAGGACATCGAAACTCGGTTTTATTCAGAAGCTTGTGAATATTCCCAGGCATTGTACGTTTCTTTCGTGTTTCAACATGTACAAATACTGGTCGAGGAGCTTCGATAGATGAGGATAGCTCGATATATGCTGCCTGCTGCACAACGGGGCTCTAAGTTTTGATATGTGTTTGTGGGTATTGATTTTTTCAAGGAAGCGTCGACTGGAACAGCATCATGTAATAAACAATTCCCTAGTCACGGTGAGATTGTGAGTATGGTAGCGTCATCTCATTGTCAACTTACCAGAACTTGTATGAGCTGTGAACTCAGCCGTCAATAAGAATGTCTTCCAATAGAATCTCAGACTCACCGCTTGGTTAGGGATGGTACCCATGGGGCTATTACGCACGAGCGATACCAAGGCGAGCAGCAGGAAAGCGCTGTATAGTGCGCCAGATTCAATGACGAATGTGATGAAACGCTTAAGCACGCTGGATTGGCCGATCCCACTGCTGTACCGCTTGACTCTCCCGCTCACAACGCACACGCGAAATGTGATGAGCACTGATCGACACAGTTTGTTATCGTGATTATAAAGTGAAAAGGACTCGAACTTACCAGTAAACCCAATACTCGAAGCCAGAGCCATAACCAGGAGTGCAATACTATTAATCCATATTTCATGGGGAATAGAGGCTTCAGCATTCTTCGTTCCTATTACAGAACGAACGGTGGAGTAAACCGCGAGAGCTGTTGTTGAAATGAGAAGAAATACGAAGGGATAAGTCACACGTTTGTTGCCCCCCCAAACGATGTGAAGCCGATATACCTGACCCATATAAGCATAGGCTCATCGGGATACAAAAGGCTTACCCAGGATGCATCCCCAAGAATGATCTGGATCCCCGAAATGACTTGTTGAAGTAGAATTATGGTGATATTAACCTCTCCGAAAATACCTCCCCCACTGCTGAGCCCTTGGAATATCTGATAGACGTTACATATAACGTGCTATGTCATTCAACTCAGTACCAAAAGACAAAAAGTAACCAGGAAATACTTACTACAGAGGCCAGACAAAACATCATTAGCCCTATCACATGGATACGAATAATCTGCGATGTGATTGTCTTTCTAAAAGTTGCCACCAAGGTAATGATCATAAGCACTAGAAATCCACCTAATGGCCCACATCAATAAACGATACTTGCTCGATAGCAAAACTGAACCTACCGTAAAGCATACACTCGATCAAGGCGGATAACACATAGAGCTTCACAGCTTGTAAGATGTCCGAATCAGTCATGGTAATGTATGATACACAGATTTTTGGCCTTTGACTTATAAGTCGGAGCCATAGATGTGCAACGATCTCCCTGTGCTGATATTAATGATGATACTTAAATGACACTGAATTCAATACGATTATTTCTCACGATCTTGCTGCTGTCATTGCGACAAATCACAATGTAGTCCATGGGCAATAAGACAAAATTGATCGTGGGATAATACAATATAAATAATCGAGCTGTATCTGACTTCTATATGATATATACATGGAGTTTATGCTGTACAAAATCAAACACTGCTGTAACGAAACGATCACGAGTGCCCAGTAACACAGTTTTGCAGTCAAGAGTTCCCAGCATTAATGAATACAGAAGATGGACCTGGGGGTACCAATGATTAATTAAATTCTACACGTTCCCCTGTGACTGTGATTGTTAAATGTCAATCCTCGACGAAGACTCGCTGAGGATGAACGTAAGCCCACGATTCGAAAGCCCATTTTGTCGCTAGTTCTGCTACACATGTCGAAGTCGTTGAGCTCACAATCGAGATATGAATCATGTCCTCGTGATAAAAAGTCCAATATACCATTCAAAATACTCAAAAGTTATTTTTGAGTGTATACACAAAACGAGGCTCTTGTAGACATATACACGTAACATTTCCTCCTCCGAGTACATACATACACGTATGTGCACTGCCATATGTGTGTGTCAATCATTTACTCATGCACATGCAGTTTGATATAAACAATAAATATATTATTATTCATATCTTTGGTAGGATAGCCATGTTAATACAAAGGTATGTGTTATCTCATCAAGTGAGTATGTACACGGAGATATCAACTAACTAGATAGCATTTAAAGACTTGGGAGCAGTGGATGTTCAGGAGAGAAGTCAAGGGTGTTCTGATGAGCTGGCGGCTTCGTAAAGCTTGAGTGCTCCGCACCGCCTTCAATATCCCGGCATCTCCCAATACTCCCCAACATTCCCATCTTTTACTACACCCCTTTTCAGTACATGCCAGAAGAAAGCAGAGGGGTAGTTGGGTGCAGTTTCATTTAGTATGGGACAAAGCTGACCGAAACGAATTATATGCGACATTAATTGATGCGACGGTGGAATGAGTTTCATGTCCACTTGATCACTTTCCAAGAACAATGGTCACAATAGATATGTGTGAAATGGAATCTGATTTCAAGACATAGAAGATAGTATCTTTGCTATTTTATGTGGCAATACACTGACCGTACTGCCAAATGCGATGAAGGAAACAGTGTCTGATGTTTTGCATTTGGTCGAAACATTCTACACGCATGGTGTTAAATAAAAACAAGGACGGTGATATTTCAATAGTGTTACTTGCAAAGGTCTAGCTTTAATGTTGGCATGAACGAACCAGATGGCCTTTGTTTGATGTTGCATGGCTATGCTTTGGCTCAAGAACAAAATATGAAGGTTGGACTAGAATGTCCCGGGAGTCGAGCCCTCGGCTTCTCGGAGCAGTTAGCAGCGAGATTTTGACCACGAGATGATTTAACCACTAATCGACCAGGACGTGGTCGTTAGTGCGGAATCAGGACATCCAATGTTGGCAAGTCAATGTGAATCTCTAGGTCAAGGACCATTTGTTACGTGTTCGCGCCGCAAAGAAGATTGGTTGGTTCGACGATCCAGCGTTCATGGCCGTCGGGGTTGAGAAGTAGGAATGGTTCGCTTTCCTTCCTGACCATGGGAATTTGGATGTGTGGTTATTCGGATTCCTACGATCCGTGTTTTATCTTACGGGGTACGGTCATGTTCAAGTGGTATTTCGGCAGAGAAGGAATGAGCCACGAATTAGCAAAGGAAAAGAAAGATCGTTGACCAGATTGTTTCTGATTCTAGCGCCCTTAGCGTCGTAGTAACGTGTAGTGTTCAGGTTATTGTCGGTGTAGTTCCGATAGCTTGCCGTTCGCTAGTCGAAGCTAGTACTTTGATTAGTAGGTAGAGACGAAGGGGAGCGGTACTTGCCTGACCTTGACACCTATCCACCGCTTATGCCGAGAACTTGAGTCATCGGAAGATGTTACTGTGAGACAACGTGCTTTGGGAGAAACACAAGGACGATGATGGCTGTTCAGTTGAAAGGAAGGCGCGTTACGCAATTTGTGACTCAAAGAGTAGTGACTGGTGACTGTGACTGTCACACCTCTCCTCGTCATTTCGCGTCCATCGTCGGCATCCTCAATCCTTGTCTTTTATCCACGGTAAGTCTTCCAAAATTGGGGAGGTGAAAGAAATAATTCTAAGCCTCCATATACTCGCGACATAGACCCAGAATGAAGCTCATCAGTACTTACCATACGTCGACTTTTTCAATCATACTGTATATTTCAAGCCTCGATTTCTAGTCTTTTGACCTCCATCGTTCCGCAAACACATCTGAAACGAATTGAGACGTGTTTATTTATCACTTTCTGCACTCCCGTTGCTCAAGTTGTCCGCCTTCCTCGATACAAGCCCGTAGGATGTGCAACGGCTGTGTACGCTTTCCGCTCCTCCCACCTAGAAAAGACGCTTACTATCTGTGTACAGTTTGACTATCTACCGCATAAGAAAGACCTTTCTACTCCTTTCGACTCTTTGTTATAGGTACCTCGACACGTTAGCCAATCTACGAGGGATATCGTGTATCTCCAGGGACCTTCGTACGTGTTACATCTCTCCGAATTTGCTAGTCCTAATCCCAATCGGTTTTCTCCCAGCACTGCAACTCCGCACTACTCCTCCACCTCTTTCTTCCCTGCCGCACCTCGTGCTCCTTTTCTTACCTCGACGTAACACTCCTATGTCGACCTTCCTCCTCCCCCCCACTGGACGCGCTTCTCCGCCTCCTGCCCGCAATGCCCTAGCACAAAACGTATTCTCCCCACCACTCCTGCGTAACAAAACTCCGATCGTTGGTCTGTAGGAACACCAGTGTACGGTGGCTCTCGTTTACCTCCAAGGACCTTGGTACGTCATATTCCTCTCCAAATCTGCTTTCACTAACGCGCATTGTATAGCTCTGGGCTCATGCCTTCCAGAACTTGAACTTGACACTGCGTCTCCGCTTCTATCCTCGTTTTTCCTTTCACCACCTCAGCGTGATACACCACACATCCACGTCGACGTTCCTCCTTCTCCGCTGGACGTATTCCTCTGCCTCCTCCTATGTCCGTCTTGCCTTCCGCTTGACAATAGACAACAGCACCGTAGGAAGGATCAACGAAAACGACAAAAGGTTTCAGTCACGTGCGTTCTCCATCACTCCCATCCAGATACAGCGCTTACCATTTGTCTATAGAAAACCCTCTCCCGCATCTCGAACTCGAGAATCTTCTCGCCGCCGCCGACTCCATAGGAACGCTGCTATCTGTTTTGCCCCAGGGCGCAGCTCGCGGGTACTAATCCCGGCTCATGCTTCTCAGACCATGAACTTGAGAAGACATTCCAGCAACCTACATCCTCTCCTCCATTCTTTCCTTTCCCTCCCTTGCTCTCAACTATTTCGACGTGATACATCCACTTCCGAACGGTGGCTAGGCCGAGTCACGAGACCTCGATACGGTTCCGGTATCGTGACGGGTACACGAGGCATGCAAAGCATGGTTCGATGGCGTAGTTGGTTATCGCATCTGTCTAACATTGCGCTGTGGAACGGAATGCACAGAAGGTCCCCAGTTCGAGCCTGGGTCGAATCAATCAATCGAGGCGAGTCTCTTTTTCTTTCCGTCCCTTCATCGAGTGTACCCATTTCCCGCCGCCCTTGTGGTGTCAAAGGGCACATGGTGTAGTTGGTTATCACATCCGCTTAGCATCACAGGGAGGCTTCTGCGGGGGGTGCTGGGTTCAATTCCCAGTGTGTCCATGATTGGAATCGATCAACTTTTTTTTATTGATCAGTTGTTCAGTCTAATGAATCTTCGTTACTCAGCGATATATTTCTGTCAAGTTCGAGTATATCGCGGGATTTGGCGTTCGACAATATTTGGGAATCTGAAACTTGCGCGCAGGCAGTGTCGTTTTCGTTGCTGTCTACACTGAGGCACATGTGGCCAAGAGTACTTATCGTTCAGCTCATCACCTCTTATATCCTAACTACAAGACGCCCACGTCAATTTTTGGGCATCTCTTAGCTAAACGTATTAATATCAGGATCATAAACCCCGCCACACTCAGCCAACCTCCTCCACAAAAGCCCATCTCTCTTCAACCGCTCCTCCAAACTCCCTTCCACAATAATGCATCGATAAAACAACTTCGTCAGTGTATACAGATCGGTGAACGGCGCTCGTTCCTCTGCGTATCCACTAAAGTCCACTTTAACATCATTATGCCAGTCGATGAACACGACTCGGATATTGATTTCGTCGAATAGAGCATTACGTTCTGCGATGTCGAGGTGATATATGACCAGCCGGTGTGCGGTTTCTATGAATTTGAGGGTGGACATGAACTTTTGATTCGGTGGTCACTGGTTAGTTAATAGTCCAACAACGCAGTCGCGAAAAAAATGCTCACGAGAGCAAAATAAACCTCCGGATCTTCCAGTCTCTTAAACGCCGCACAGTCGTCGTCGAGAATAATATCACTGAATTTCCGGGGAATGTATTCCAGGACAAGAACGTCCGATTCTTCGTCCCAAGGCAGGTTCACCTACAAGTTTTCTGTCAGTCGAAGTCGCGTTAGTGGTTTAGAATACACGCACCCTAAACTTGCCGAAACAGTACGGTATATCTTTCCCTTGATATTCCTCCAATTTCATGTAGGCCTCGTATTGGCATCCCACTAATTCCTGTGGGGTACGGTACAGTTTCAAATCCACACTCTCAGTGGTTGGTAATGGGAGCTTTGATGGTATGAAGAATTTGAGTACAACCGTGACGCTGGTCATTGCGGAAGAGACTGTTGGGACTTGTGCAAGCCATACTTCGGAGAATCTGTTTTCGCCGTTTTGAAGTTGTTTAGAAAGCGTAAAGGTGGTTTCTATACCGAAGGGAAGATGTGGGAGTGGCCTGTAACCACTTTGGTCCGCTTGAACGGGAACGGGGGGTTGTTGTGGGATAATAGAGAATGAGTAGCCGATATGTAGACCCATTTTCTCTTTTGATGCCTTGGAAATCGACTGGATCTGTGATCGATAGCCGTCCAAGTCTTCGGGGTCGAAAAGGATATTCATGAGGAACGTGAAGGAAAGAGTGACTCGCTTTGGGCCTTTATATATGCACGAGGCACTATGCACGCGGTGTCAATGGACCCAGAACAAGTCGGATCAGCGTACCCCTTCATGTTCTGTAAACTCGTCCATAAGCGAATTGCTAACGAATGATCAATTAGAACCTGGTGGAACCGTACACGTGAGGCTTGATAACTCGGCTTCGATGGACGATCTCCATGAGAAGAATTCCCTAGTGCCGTAGTATTCTTCGTGTATGGATGATAAATGTCGTCAAAATGTCGTGTGTTTCTTCAGTTCAAGGGGTACAGACAAGATATCGCGAGGACTAGGAGAAGTGAGCTTTTACGGCGGTGCAATATGATGACGCCTGCTAGAAGTCCGAGAACTTGTTAAAAGAAATCGCTTGGAGGAGCATTGCAAGAACGTCGTGGTTGAAAAGAAAGCAACGCGTTACGCAATTGGATGGGTGACCTGTGACTGTGACTGTCACGCCTCTCCTCGTCATTTCGCGTCCATCATCGAATGTGCTATTCCTCGTCTCCCATCCTTGGTATGTCCCCCAAACTCGAGCAAGTGAAAGAGCTAACCGCAATTCTCAACATAGTCACGGCATGGCTTCAGAATCCAGTTTCTCGGTGTTCACTAGATGTCAACTTTTTCAATCACACTGGACGATTCAACGCCCTCATCTCTAATCTCTGTGCTTCAATCCTTCCGCCGAGTCATCTCACTCGAATCAGGCCTGGTCTATTCACCGCCTCCTTCACTCTCATCTCCGGAACTGCTTGCTTTCCTTGACACCAGCCAGGATGTGCGGCGGCTGCGTACGTCTTCCGTTACTCCCAGCCAGAAAAACACTTATTATTTCTGTTCAGGTCGACTACCCTCCGCATGAGGAAGACCTTTTTACTCTCTCTGGCTACTTGCCCTGGTTACCTGGACATGTTCGTCAGTGTGCGAGGCGTATTATTCATTTTGAGCAAACTGGGTACGTGAAACCTCTCTACGACTTTGCGGCTACCAGGACTAATCCTCGTCCACCTCTTCCTCAGTACTTGAACCGCATATTACTCCTCCGCCTCTATCCTCTTTTTCGTACCCGAACCCAGTAGCAACACCAGCGCACGAAGGCTATAGTTTATCTACAGGGACCTTGGTACGTCATACTCTTCTCCGAATCTACCTGTACTGACAAGCATTATATAGCTTCAGGTTTATGCACCCCAGCACTTTCCTCTACCTCGAGTCCCCGCCTTTATCCTCGTGCTCCCTATCACTACCTCGAGGTGATACACCACACCCACGTCGACCTTCCTCATCCCTTGCTAGACATTCTTCCCCACCCCTTCATGCATCCAGCGCTATAGGAAGGCTCAAAGGAAACGATAAACGTATGTTGCCACTTTCATCCGAAGAAAGGCTCACCAATCGACCGTAGATTCACCAGCCTCCCCCAGCAGCGAGCATGGACCTTCTGCATAGGACAGGAAGGCCCCGTTAATAGATCAAATAGGTGTTGTAGCCCTGGGAGCTCGGTATGCTGACATCAACGCTTGTACGCAGCTCGCCTGTATTAACCGCGATCCATACTTTCCAGAATTCGAACTCAAGATTCCTTTACCGCAATCTACATCCCCCCTCCATTACTTGCTACCTCCTTTCCCTTCCCGACTCCTAATCTGGCCACGGTCCCCAGCTACTTCAACGTGATACACCCTTCTTCTTTCGAACGGTTCAGCATTTTCATGCTACCTCTGCAAATTTGCCGGTACTAACTGATACCCCAGGTTCCAGAGGAGATTACCGTTCACCGATTCGTGAAGACCCTGAGCGAATGCCAAGGTCACGTTAGTTCACATTACATGGTTCGATGGCGTAGTTGGTTATCGCATCTGTCTAACATTCATCGGAGTGCGATTTGTCACACAGAAGGTCCCAGTTCGACCCTGGGTCGAATCATGAACCTTTCTCCAGCCCCTCTTTTTCGTTTCTTCCACTATTTTGCGTATAAGCCTTCGGGCTCTCACGAAATGGAAAGGCAATGGGCACATGCTGTAGTTGCCAGATATTTGTGTTTGCGGGGGGTGCTGGGTTCAATTCCCAGTGTGTCCATGGATGTGCCTATGTGGTTCCTTTTTTGTATATGAAAGCCAGGTGCACGCGGTATGGTTATCGTCGTCCTCTAAGTACTCCCATCATCCAATGCTTATCAGCTGGAGGCTAACGGTTCAGTGTTTCCTTGACTATACGAATCAGATACCCCGGCGTGTAACGGTTTGTAAACCGGGTGTCTGTGGAAGGCCTAGGATAGGTCTCGGGGCGAGGGAAAAAGCTGGAGTGTTGGTAACGCATACACCGAACCCACATGATTACGTCTTCTTTGATTCGCAGTCTTTTTTATCTCTCGTTGCTCAGCGATAAATTTAGAAACTCGAAACCTTAATATCGGGTGTATGGTGTATCATCACATCCGATGGAATCGAGTTCTGCTTCTGCATGTGTTCGGTTTAATTTCCAACGTGTCCACTGACGCGTGTTGTTCGGAAGTGAGTCGCGTCATGCGCCTGCAGACTATCGATACCTTTCCCTGTGATCTATCATTATAATATAATATCTAGTCCAGTTTGTGATTCTATTGTTCCGAGTTCACCAACGAATAATCTCCCCGCCAGCTTCCCATCCCAGAGAGCGTAAAACTAGATACTGTGTCAGACTCACAGCGCAGCCATCAAAAAAACAGCGATCCCTATATCATTGACATTATGGGTCAAATATCTTATCACTGTCCGACTCGGAGTCTCAGGGATCAAAAACGCACCTGTGTAATACCCAACTGCCGGATATCAGTGAGCCAACGAGTGCGCATTCGCCGACTAATGTCGCTGCCAGCTAAGGTCCCCCAATTTCATGGACCGGCGTTGAGAACGAAGAGCACAAGCTTAGAAGAATAAGCACTAGTTCAAGGATCCGAAGCGCGATGTACAGCTTGGGGCCGAGCTTATCCGTACACGATGGAGACCACGCCATGTGATCCAATGGCCACGCAAATGTCAAAACCGCGGCGATGAAGCTTCACAAGAATGAAGTACTTGATCGGTCCTGTTATGAAAATTTAGGTGTCAATGGCTAGTAGCACAACGAAACCGCGTACCAGACCTGTCCATGACAGTCCCAGAAGATAAACATCCATATCCAGAGGCAGTGTGCAACCCAAACTTCGGAGAACCTTTTTTCACCGCTTTGAAGTAGGTTAGTAAGTTTGAAAGTAGTTTCTACACCGAGAGGAAGTCGTGGAAGTGGCCTGTAACCACTTTATTTTGCTTGAACAGGAACGGATGGTTGGTGTGGGGTGATGGAAAATGAGTAGCCAATAGCTAGAGGATTGCTCTCCTTTGTTTCCGATTCCTTGGAAACCGACTGGATTTGTGATTGATAGCCATCCAAGTCTTCGGGGTCGAAAAGGATATTCATGATGGAAAGAGTGACACGCTTTGAGCCTTTATATATACACGAAGCATAACTATGCACGCGGTGCCCATGGACGCAGGACAAGTCGGATCAGCGTACCCCCTCATGTTCTGTAAACTCGTCCCATCAGCAATTCGGAATCCGGATAAATTAGAACCTGTCGCATCGGACTGCACACCTGAGGCTCAATAACTCAGCGTCGATGGTCGATTTCCATACGACAAATCCCCTGACGCCGTGGAATTCTTCGTGTATGGATGATAAATGCTACCAAAATGACGTCTGTGGGTACAGACAAGATATCGTGAGGGCTAGGGGAAGTGAGCATTTGCGGCAATGCAATGACATGATACTCCCTAGAAGTCCGAGAGCTTGACAAGGGAAGCCACTTGATGGAAAGGCATGGGACGCTGCAAGAACGTTGTGGTTGAAAAGAAAGCAACGCGTTACGAAATTGAATGTGCATGGGTGACTTGTGACTGTGACAGTCACGCTTCTTCTCATCGTTTCGCGTCCATCATCGAAAGTGCTTTTCCTCGTCTTCCATCCTTGGTATGTCTCCCAAATTTTGTTCAGCTGAAAGAGCTTACCACAACTCTTGACATAGTCGCGGCATGGCCTCAGAATTCACTTCCTCGGTGTTCACCAGATGTCAACTTTTTGAATCACACTGGACGATTCAACGCCCTCATCTTTAATTTCTTGGCCTCAATCCTCCCAAAAAACCAGCCCAAGCAAATCAAGTTGGATTTCTTCACTACCTCCTTCAGTCTCATCCCTGGAACTGCTCGCTTTCCTTGACACTAACCCATAGGATGTGCCGTGGCTACGTACGCCTTCTGTTACTCCCACCTGGGAAAAACGCTGACTATTTGTACAGGTCGACTATCTTGCGCATGAGGAAGTCTCCCTCACTACCCCTCTTGACTTCCTTCGACTACTCGCTTTGGTTATCTGAACGCGTTCGTCAGTGTGCGAGGGGTATTATTCATTTTGAGCAAACTTGGTACATGATACTTCTCTACGACTTTGCGGCTACCAGGACTAATCCTGATCTATCTCTCTCAGTACTTGAACCTACTCCTCCGCCCCTATCCGCTTGTTACTTTCCGTACCCGCACCCAGTTGGAACCCCAACGCACGAAGGCTATCGTTCATCTACGGGGACCTTGGTACGTCACACCCCTCCGAATCTACCTGTACTGACTGACACGTATTGTATAGCTCCGAGTTCATACTGCCCAGCACTTTGGCTCTACACTACGTCTCCGCCTCTATCCTCGTGTTCCCTTTCACTACCTCAACATGACATACCACACCCACGTCGGCCTTTCACCTTACCTGCTAGACGTTGTTCCTCACCCCTTCGTGTCTGCAGCGCTATCGGAAGGCTCAAAGGAAACGATAAACGTATGTTCTTTGCTACTCCCATCCGAAGAAAGGTTCACAAATTGACCCCGTAGATTCACCCACCTCCTCCAACGGCGAACATGGACCTTCTGCATAGGACTGGAAGGCCTCGGTCATAAGATGCCGAGATCAATCAGGAGTTGTAGCCCTGGGAATACTTGGTATGTCAATATTGACGCTTTCACGCAGTTCGCCTGTACTAACCCCCGATCCGAGTCAATGCTTCACAGAGCTGGATACAAGCCACTCCCGCAACCTACTTCCTCTCCTACGTTCCCTTTCCCTCCCCGATTCCACCAAACCAGATGGTGTCCCCCAACTACTTCAACGTGATACTTACACCAGCTTCGGTTCCGCCTTCCGTTCAATGTTTTCTTGGTATCTCTACAAATTTGCCGGTACCAACAGATCACCCCGGTTCCTCAAGACCCGACGGAATACCCTTCCCCACATCCCTGTGTACCGATTCCTCAAGACATCAAATCTCGCTGCATGGTGAGGGAAGGAGCGCGAAATCATATGGATTGAAACTGTCCGTTGAGGCATGGTTCGATGGCGTAGTTGGTTATCGCATCTGTCTAACATGGTAATTTACCTTGATCGTTACACAGAAGGTCCCCAGTTCGAGCCTGGGTCGAATCATCAGACGGAAACCACCACTCTTTTCTAACTTCTTCCGAGGGATTTCTATTACGTATGGACTTGCATGAACGAGAGCAGAAACGGGCACATGGTGTAGTTGGTTATCACATCCGCTTAGCATTGACGGAGAGGCAGCTAAGTCTGCGGGGGGTGCTGGGTTCAATTCCCAGTGTGTCCATCTTTTGTTCTTGAACGATATTTTTTTGTTGTCGTCTTTGGTACAAGTAGTTGTATAGGAACACCAGCTGTACGTTGATAGGCCCTGGTACTTACTCCCTCATACTCCCAAAATCCGATGCTTTTCAAGCAACGCCACTTTCCCGGATTGGCTGCTCCAAGGTTAGATAGAAGTCGTGATTTCGTCGATTTTAGATGAGCTTGCGAGTCTACAAAAGATTAATTGCATCAATAGCGAGCTCAGCATATTTCTGAAGCACTCACCGTCCCCGCGCCCCGCGCCGTAAGTGGGATATGCTCTCTCCACCGCCGAGGTCGCAAGTGAGAGAGCAGTGGTGAGTGCTGTCATCTTGTCATCGTGATTTCGTCATGCTCACGGCAACTTCCGCAGATCCGTTACACTGGCGACGTCGTGAGACATCCTCCTTGTCTCTTCTCACAACGTCGCCAGGTATGTCCTCGAAGATTTTCCCCTTTTCTCTTCTCACAACGTCGCCAGAGATTGTTTATTTCGCGCTTATTCTGAATATTTTCGCTACTCCTGAATACATTCATATTCCATCAACATTTCATGTCTCATAATGCCGGATCTAGTAGACCGACTGCTGGATCATCCTCTTCCTCGAGAAACCCACATACCTTTGGAGCTCCCACTGCTTCAGGAGAGCTTCAGTCAACCTTCGATGAATCAGTCACCAAAGAAGCGCAAGACTATGTCGATAAGTTTAGAAAGGGGCTCATCACTCGAGACAAGGCTGAGGCAGCCATCGATGTCATTCTTGAACGAGGTGCCGCCAACGCCGACATCTCATTCACATCCGACTTATCCCAGCCATTCCTCGAGCAGCTGGATGCTCACGAGCAGGCTCTCCGCGACGCGCAGGAGGAGGGGGAGAAACATGAAACTGCAACAATCATCACTCCCACTGCTAAATCGCATTCATCCACCAAGCGGAAACGAGACGACGACTCCGACTCCTCTTCTGGAGAGGATTCAGACGAAGAAGCGCCGCGTAGACGTCGAAAGCGAATCGACAAGTCCAAGCTCACCTGGGAGATCAATTCCGACACTCTTGAACTCAGAGAACCCGTCCGACTTGTTGTCTCACAACTCGAGAACTTTTCCAGAGATCCCAAGGAGGCTCTACGTCTCCTCCGAGCTAGCGGATCTGCGCCAACCTTCCCAACCCAGTCCTGGAAAGAGCTCCTTGAAGGCTCCTATGTCGACTTCGACTCTATCAACAAAGATTTATTCGGGGGCACAACAATCTCTACAGAAGAAGACTGGGGACGAGTCTGGCGTGTTTTCGAACCAGCAATGTCTTACGCCTTTGCTAGACGGGGACAAGAGCTTCGTACCTATGGCACATATATCCTCGACTTCTTCCAGCAGTTCAAATCTGACCATCACGCCAACGTCATCAATTTCGATCGCGCCGTCCGTCACTTCATCGCAAATTCTAGAGATGTCTTATTTAGTGATACCAATCGGTTCACACATCTCGAAATATCTTACCTCTGCCCTGGAGGAAAGCATTTCATCGAACCTCCCTCTCTTCGTGGACCAAAGAGGAGCTTTAACAACCGTACCCGTTCCTCTGACGAAGTGTGCCGGAACTGGAACAATGGCAACTGTTCAAAGGGGTCCGATCCCTGCCCAGGGGGCCGGAAGCACGTCTGCAGCACCTGTGGAGCCTCTGACCACCGCCGGAAGGACAGGAAACAATGCCCCAAGCCTGCGTAATGCCTCTCTTGGGTCATTGGGTCCAGTTTCTTCGTCTGCGGTCTCAGCTTCACTACCTTCTACCCATCCTTTGCCTCCTAACGAAACCTATGCATCATATAGTCCTTGTTCTGATGATGTTTTTGAATGCGAATCATGTGTCCCCCGATACCTTCGCGGATATGCCTGGCGTGAAGACTCATTATGTTCGAGCATCACAGCTTACATGACTGAGATCGATTCACCGCTTCCAAGACCTCCTCCTTCAGAGTTCCAGAACGAGTCCGTTCTTCGCACCATCGAACGTCACCCGGATCTGTTCAATGTTTCAACGGAGATCAACGTTGATGAAATGGAGAAATTGTTGACCGGAGCTTACCCTGACACTTTGCAACATCCGAATACCCCTTTCATCGACTCTGTAATGTCCATGTTGCGTGAAGGTTCCTGGCCATGGGCAGATACCCACCACAATGATGGTTACCCGATTACCTACGATAAATCCTTATTCCACCCGAGGACTGAACGAGAACGTGCATTTCTTGAAGAGTATAGCCACTCAGAAGAACTTGCTGGTCACCATTCACGCGATTTCGGCCCTGATCTCCTCGAAGGAATGTACTCAACTCCTGTCTTGGCCGTACTGAAGCCTCATTCTGATGATCTACGACTAGTCCATCACATGAGCTATGGGGAGTACTGTCAGAATTCTATGATGGATCGCTCACAGACCAAAGGTGCTCGCCTAGATACTCTCCACAATTTCACCGCCGCCCTACTGCACTACAAACGTGAACATCCGGACAAGGAGCTGGTTGCATGGAAATCGGATGTCGCTGGAGCGTTTTGTCTCTGTCCCTTACACCCCCTATGGCAGATCAAGCAGATCGTCACCACCAACTATCCCTCCATAGACGACGTCGAGAGCAACATTGACAGGGGACCCCTCATACATCGCGTTGACTGGAGGTGCTCCTTTGGCAGTTGTGCTTCACCTTGTACGTGGGCATCTGTTATGGGTCTTGTGTTGTGGATCGTCATATTTGTCTTTGGTCTTCAGGACGTCTTCGCCTACGTTGATGACAACTTTGGTTGGGAAGATGCAGTGAATTTTGTCCTATATTCTCCGTACGGTATCATGATGCCAGCAAAGCAAGCCGCACTTTTACGTATCTGGGACCGACTGGGAATTCCGCACAAACGCCGCAAGCAACTCCATGGGAAAGTCCTGGAAATCATCGGGTTCTTAGTGGACGTCAATAACCTTACCATCACACTCCCTTCAGAATCAAAGACAGATCTTATAAATGCCGTACAAGGCTTTATCGACTCTCCGCAACAGCGTCGGAAACTCTATGAGTGGCAACAACTGGCGGGATGGATTTCATGGTCACTCAATGTCTTTCCCCGTTTGCGTCCTGCACTGTGCCACGTGTACCAGAAGATGTCGAAAAAAGGTGAAAGATGGGGTTATGTCCACCTTAACAACGCTGTCCGGGATGACCTTCGATGGTTCCTGAACCATGTCATCAAATCTGACAGTGTCTACGTGTTTGATTCCGTCGATTGGAATCCGGTGTCTGAATCTGACTTCGAGATACGGTGTGATGCCTGTCTCGAAGGCATGGGTTTTTGGTCACCGAGCTTGTCCATCGGTTCTTATTGCCCCGTCCCGGTCGATCTGTCAGAAGATCCTAAGATCTTCTTTTGGGAAACCGTTGCAGTACTGGGAGCTTTGGAATGGTTCGTACGTGTCGCACTGCAGGGTGCCCCTCATCTTTTCCCTTCTGACCGCCCTATCCGCCTTTCCATTTTCACCGACAACTTCAACACTGTTCACATCTTCGATACCCTTGCCGCCGGATCTGGATACAACGATCTCCTGAAAGCAGCTGTCGACATCTTGATCAAGCACAACATTGACCTTCGCGTAATTCATATCCCTGGAGACGAGAATGAAGTGGCCGATGCCATTTCCCAACGTAATTTCGATCGCGCGTGCGCCATTCGTCCCAATCTCGTTATTTTACCTTTTCAACCCCCTCAGTGTTCGTTGGGGGCAGCTAAAAAATGACTCCGACAATCTCTCGGGGTGCGAGGCAACCGCCTCGTAAACCCTGGACGGTAGAGGAGCTCATTCAACGGCGCAATATTGCTCTAGGAATGTCAATTGACTCTACCACACGTGCTACGTACTCATCTTCACTTAATTCATATCTTACTTTCTGTGAACTACACGATATGCCAATTAATCCTACCCCTGATACCCTATCCTTCTATGTTGTGTTTATGTGTCATCATATCATTCCCGACTCTGTTGCCGGCTACCTCTCAGGCATCGTTCACGGTCTTCAGCCGTTCTTTCCGGATGTTAAAAAGAATCGTGATCATCATTTAGTTTCCCGCACTCTCAAAGGTTGTCGGCGCATGTTCAAGAAGTCCACTCAGCGCAAACTTCCCCTCTCCGTCGACTCTATCCGCGAGAACATGGATCGGCTTCCCCCTAACCCCCACTACGACGATCTCTTGTTCAACACAATGATGGCCACCGGTACTCGAGGTTTACTCCGCCTTGGGGAGATGACAACTCCTGACCTGGTGTGACTCCGCAATCCCCGGAAATACTCTTTGAGGAGCCGGGTTGAATTTCTCGATGATGGGTTCTCCTTCTGGTTAGAAACCCACAAGACCGATAAAGCGTTTGAGGGCGCGCGTATCGTCATCACCTATCACCCCCGCATTGATGTTCCCGGCATCTTTAGGACCTACATCACTTGCCGAGATTCAAGATTTCCCTTGAATCCATTCCTGTGGTTGACTTCGACAGGGAGAGTCCCAACACGCTCTTGGTTTATGACCAGGTTCCGATTATTTTGCATCGACCACAGATTTGCTGGCCAGCCTATGCGTGCTGGTGGTGCTACATTCTTGGCAGAGGAAGGAACTCCTCGGGAATTGATCCAGGCTGTCGGACGGTGGACTTCTGACGCGTTCAACATCTATATTCGGAAGAACCCGGTGCTTCTTCAATCCATTGTCACGACGGCATCCATTTAACACGCCACTCCCCTCTCATCACTCCGATGTTCTGAACATCTTCTCATCTCTCTCTCTTCTTCTTTTCTCTTTTAGCATATTAGCCATTGGTTCGCGGCGCCCAGAGCATGCTATGTATCTCTTGGGTCTGATGACCCGGTGTTGCTAAGCTACGAAGGATGAAAAACACACCCCACAGACGATTGGTTGGTTTAAACGAGGACATTTACACGAAGGCAATTGACGGTGAGTAAGTCCGTAACGCCCGTGTCTAAACGCCAACTCACTACCTGTAATAGGTAGTGAGGAACCTGTTTCGTCTCCTGTGTCGTATGGCCAACACCCGCAGTCATAGAGACTCGACACGTTTTGCTCGTAGACATAGTGTCTCGATCGATCTTCTCCTTTCGTAGAAATACCCTAATCTTCACCTGGCGGACTCCTCACTCATTATTCCTTGTCCGCCAGGTGGGTAATCACATACTAGTTTCTCAGATCACCACTTACTCATTATTCCTTGTCCGCCAGTGTTGTTTTTCGCTACCCACCCGATTCCTTCTCAGTCATTACCACTCCCGTAGTATTATTTCATGTATTTAGATAGTTGGGCGCCATCGGTTCACGGCGCCCAGAGCATGCTATGTATCTCTTGGGTCTGATGACCCACGTCGCCAGAGATTGTTTATTTCGCGCTTATTCTGAATATTTCTCATATTCCATCAACTCTGTCTCTTCCATCGACCTCGTCTCAATTAATGCCCCCTAAAACGACATCATCACAATCTTCCCATGCCGGCGGTACTCTCTCCATTGATCGCATCACTGGCGCACAGAGGCCGCAACCGCCATCTTCGGCACAAGCTTCAACTTCTATTTCTTCTGGCGGCCCTACTCCCACTGTTACTACTCAACCTCAGGCTAGCACATCTGCCGCCGGTCAGGCCCCTGTTTCCGACAACTCCAACACCACTCCTCTCACACCTCAGGCCAATGTTGTTAACGAGTCCCATCAGTCAATGCACGATATTGTCACTCAGTACCGTGAAGGGAAACTCACCCGGAAATCTGCCGAAAAGGGGTTGGCGAAGATCTTCCGCACGAGTAGCGAGACTCTCGGACTTCGATTGTCATCTGACCAGGTCCGGGATGGCATTGGCGGATGGCTCATATCATTGGACGACCATGATAAGGAGGTCAAACGTGGGAGAGACGCCGGGAACTCAGTCGCAGAGGCTCTTGGGTTGGATAAAGAGGGCCATAACCATGGTGATGGTACTGAACGTGGAGACAAAGGAAAGCGGCGTCAACGCAGTCCTGATCCAGACCCAGAACCTTCCTCTCCCTCATCTTCAAGCTCGTCTGAGGACGAGAAGGATCATGATGACCGGGATCACCGCCGTAACCACCGCCGTAACCACCGAAAGCGTAGTCCCTCATCCTCACGTTCACCTGCACCAAAATCTCACAAGCGACGTCGCCGAGACCCTTCTCCTTCCTCCTCTGACAGTTCAGACTCCTCATCTGATTCATCCCATCATTCGTCCCATCATTCCTCTCGAAAGAAGCCAAAGCTCAACAAGCGACTTTTCCCCTTTTTGTCTGCCAACAGGACATACCTTCAGAAGCTCCGCAAGAGGCACGGGAGACGTGAGGTTATTTGTCGGCAACTCGAGAACTACTCCCGTGATCCAAAGGAAGCTGCAAGACGCATCATGTATTCCAAGAATGCTCCGCCACTCGTTCTCGATGAGTGGAAGACTGTCCTACCTGGGGACTACACAGATCTTGATGTGATCTTTGTCCGTATGCATCCTTCCCACTCTGCTTCCTCAATACAGACCCAGAGTGATTGGGCTGAAGCCTGGTCATATCTACGTCGTGGCATCAATCATGCCTTTTCTTTTCGGGAGGATGAGCTTCATGAGTACGAGGATTATCTCCTCTCCAGCTTCCGCACACGCCAGTCCTCTTTCCATGTGAATATTGTCGCATTTGATCGCGATAATCGCCAGAATGTTCTGGCTGCCAACAAGGGGGTGCTCTTCACCGATTTTCACCACTTCTCTCGAGGAGTGGATGTAAGCCTCTAACTAGACGGCCCTGTAAATCAAGCAGGCCGTCTAACTAGATTTTGCGGGTGTACGTAGGCCTTGCGGTCTAGTTAGACAGGCAGTACAGTGAGAGATTAAAATATACGGAGTCAGCATGGATTGAACAAAGACCCTAACACCTTACATAATGCTGATACCCAAGATCGGCAGCAATACCACTGCGTCACCGGTGTGTTGGAAAAACTAAGGTTTTATCCCCTAACCCTAACCGTGGGGCGTTCCCCCCCCCGCACCCCCCCCTTATATATATCCCCAGCCCCTAACCCTTTTTGCGGGGGGTTTCACCCCCCCGCGCCCCCCTCTAACACCTAACCCCTAACCTAAGGAGAAGTGCTCCGCTTCGCTTCGCACTTTCCTCTGAGTGGGGGTGCAAACAGGTACAGGATACATGGCATAGTTGTTAATACGCTTGTTCTTCTTACTTACTGTTAGTAATTGACCATTATGTCGGCTGTTCAAGTCTTTCTTGTTACTTACCTTTTTGTTCTTAGTCACCTGATGTGATTACGGAAATGTGCCGTAAGCCTGTCTAACTAGACAGCAAGGCCCACAACCACCCGCCAAGTCTAGCTAGACGGCCTGGTTGATTTACAAGGCTGTCTAGTTAGAGGGGTACATCCTGTGTTGTTCTCTCAAAACCGTGAGGCTTGGCTCGAATCCACTGGCATTAACAACATCACCTCCTCTTCCCGCCGACAGAATAACGCACCACGACGCCAGGAAATTTGTCGCAACTGGAATTACCGTCGGTGTGCTGATGACAAATCCTGTCGTCGACGTCACGTTTGCCTTTCTTGTGAGTCTCCGAACCACGTCCGTGATGACTGCAAGGGTGGTCCATCATCACTCCCAAAGTCCGAGCGCAACTAATGCAACCTGTGATGTTTGTGAGAGCTGTCTTCGGCGTGATGCCAGGTCATGCTTAATCATTCAAAGCTCTTGCTACGCTCTTCCTACTCTCCATATCCTCTCATCTCCATTTCTCCCTGGCGACGTTTGTGAGAGTTGTTCTCGGCGTGATGCCAGTTCATGCTCAATCATTCGAAGCTCTCACTCCCCTTTTCTCTCCATGCTTAGACCCCCTCGGAATACGCTGGGGGCATCGTCATCATGACTCCTCCACGTGCGGTTCGTCGGGTCCGCCATAAACCGACTTGGTCACGTGCCAAACTTGACCAACAACGCAACACTGTTCTAGGTCTTGCAATCGACTCTTCTTCCAATAGCACTTATCGCTCAGCCCTTAATTCCTGGTTTAAATTTGCTCTACAACACGATTTCCCTGCCGAACCCAATTCAAACTCCTTCAGCTACTTTGCTGCTTACATGTGTTCCTTCATCGATCCCAAGAGCGTCAACAAGTACCTCTCTGGGATATGCTACCTTCTAGAACCATTCTATCCAAACGTACGTGCCGCTCGCTCTCATCCCCTCGTTCACCGTACTATGAAGGGCTGTCGCCGTCTATATGGCAAACCAGCTCAACGTAAAGCACCCCTGACAAAGAACCAACTCCGGTTTGCAATGCTTTCACATCCTCCCCACCCTTCCTACAATGACTGTCTCTTCCTTACTCTCCTATTTGTTGGGTTCTTTGCCTTACTCCATCTAGGAGAAATGGTAGCCCCCGACGCAGTCCTCCTTCGCAATTCCCGCAAGTACTCGCTTCGCTCATCTGTAGAATGGCTCCCAGAAGGGTTCTCTTTTTGGCTTCAGCGCCATAAGACTGATACCCTTTTTGAAGGGAATAAAGTTATTGTACCAGATCGACTCGATGATCTCAATCCACGGCCTATTATCCAAGCCTATATGACGCTTCGTGATGAACGGTTCATACTCTACCCATTCCTATGGGTGAAGTCAAATGGTAAGGTCCCTACTAGGCGGTGGTTCATCAAACGGCTTCGCCGTCTCTTTCCAGATCCTTCCTTTGCAGGACAGTCACTCCGTTCTGGTGGGGCAACTGCCTTGGCTGAAGAGGGAGTTCCTCCTCATCTCATTCAGGCAGCTGGGCGTTGGTCATCAGAAGCATCCCACATATACATACGCAAGCACCCTGTCATTCTTCAAGCACATCTTCGACAGTGATGGCCGCCATCGCTCCCCACCACCTGCCTAACTCCATCGTGAGTCTTCATCATATGGCTTCACCATTCCTCTATCTCTTTTTCTTCTTCTCAAAAGGCTTCGCCTTTTCTCCATGGTGCCACGCACCTCTCATTACATGATGGCCTCGCCATCATCTTCATGAGGCTTCGCCTCTCTGGTGCCTCGCACCTTTTTCTTCTTTAGCCTATTAGCCTATTCCTCACGATGTCGAATCAGAATGGGCCCCAACTGCCGAAGTTGCGGGCCTGGTTTATGCTAATACGGTGTGCAGTGAGCGTTGATTAGCAATTGGTCGATTTTAGATGAGCTTGCGAGTCTACAAAAGATTAATTGCATCAATAGCGAGCTCAGCATATTTCTGAAGCACTCACCGTCCCCGCGCCCCGCGCCGTAAGTGGGATATGCTCTCTCCACCGCCGAGGTCGCAAGTGAGAGAGCAGTGGTGAGTGCTGTCGTCTTGTCATCGTGATTTCGTCATGCTCACGGCAACTTCCGCAGATCCGTTACACTGGCGACGTCGTGAGACATCCTCCTTGTCTCTTCTCACAACGTCGCCAGGTATGTCCTCGAAGATTTTCCCCTTTTCTCTTCTCACAACGTCGCCAGAGATTGTTTATTTCGCGCTTACCCACCCTATTTTTTATTGTCCCACCCTTATCTCTTTAATCTATCTACGGACCATTCCTCTACATACACGAAGCATCTATGGACACTTAACTTGGACTATCCATACACGACTTGTTTATATTCTACTTTATTTTTCTTCCTTGACAATTTGTTGCTTTTGACTCATGTATCTGCCTATTCCTCACGATGTCGAATCAGAATGGGCCCCAACTGCCGAAGTTGCGGGCCTGGTTTATGCTAATACGGTGTGCAGTGAGCGTTGATTAGCAATTGGCCGGGGCACGGGCGGTTTAGCGTTTCCTTGGCTCTACGAAATTCGCTATGAATTGAGCGAGGGGAAAAGGCTGCAGTGTAGGTACATGATTCGATGGCGTAGTCGGATATCGCATCTGTGTTATATCGTATTTCATCGCTTCGGCTCATGTTATGCACAGAAGGTACCCCAGTTCGAGTCTGGGTCGAATCACTCCCTAGACGTCTTCTGGAGATGACACCTTTTTTTCTTCTTGCTCAGCGACAACTTTCTCCTGCAGACTATCAATATCCGTGATCTATAGTTATAAAATCTGGTCCCGTTTGTGATTCTATTGTTCCGAGTTCACCACTGGCGTACTACAATGAATCATAAGTACGCCGCCAAACAGCAAATCTCCCCGCAAGTAGCTCAAAGCTTCCCTTTCAGAGAGCGTAAAACTAGGTATTTTGTAACAGCCATCAAAAAAGCAGCGAACAATATCATTGTCCCTATATGAGTCAAGTATATCATCACTTTCCGAGTCTCAAGATCAAAAGACGCACCTGCGTAATACCCAACTGCCTCGAACCCTCCTGCAGATTGACTGATAGCACCGGATATCGGCGAGCCAACAAGTGCACCTATAGATGCTATACTCATAACCATGCCCGTTCGCCGACCAATGTCGCTGGTTTCCCCCATTTCGTAGACTGGCATTAGGAACGAAGAGACAAAGGCTCCAGAGCAAAATCTATGAAGAATAAGCACCGGTTGGACTGGAAGCTTAATGTATAGCTTGGAACTTACCCGTATACGATTGAGACCACGACAAGTGACCCAATATTACGTGCGAATGGCCATGCATAGGTCAAAACTGCGGCGATGAAGCTCATAGGGACGAAGTAGTTGATCGGTCCTGTTATGAGAATTTAGGTGTCAATGACTGGTAGCACAACGAAACTGCGTACCTAACCTGTCCATGACAATACCAGAAGATATACGTCCAAATCCAGAGGCAGCATTCGTGATGGACACCAAATAAAATGAAAAGTCCGGTGAGATCCCATGTTTGACGGCACCGATGTCGATGTATGTGAGAACTATGGTGTTGTGGAGAAAGTCTCAGAGGCACGGAAAGAGATACACATAATCCAAGCTACTAACCTGTAGATAACCCAAGGAAAGATACCCATATCGCAAAAGAATACACCGCAAGCGGAGGTGATTTGAAAGCCTTTAGATTTAGCAAACCACCTGTCACGCGTGCTGGGGGTAAACGACGGTCGAGCGTCAAGTTTGGCACCAAAAGGACAAAGAGGAGAATGAATCCGATGATGCGCATTGTCCAGGGGAAACTTGCAGTGTAAATGCGTAAAATGAGAAGCGTGTTGGGCGAATTACGTGAAAGCTTACCCGACTTGTGGGATGAGTCGTCTCGCCGCAATGGGTAAAATTGTCGCACCCACTGACGAACCTGCACCTGTAACACCCAATGCCAAGCCTCTTCTATGCTTGAACCAGTGTGCAATCACCCCCATGGATGGGACGAACACGGCGCCTGAAGCAAGCTACGCAAAACCAAGAATACATCTCAGCACGCACGGTGCCAGGACGCTGCCATATCACTCACCCCAAGAGCAAAGCCCTGACATAGCAAGAGCTGCCAATACTGCGTGCATTCAGCTATAATAAAGCAACAGGCAACGATAACCGCCGATGCGATTGCCAAAGGGATCTTGAAAATGCCAATGTCGAGCAGGCGCCCAGTGACAAGTCCGGGTAAGAAGCATAGTGAATACTAAATGGCAAGTTTAATCGTGTAATTATCGTGTGCAGCTGACCCCTCACCTGAACAGAGCCTATCCAAGCACTGAATGAGGAGATGAATCAGCATATGACAAACAGAAACATTGTACCCCGTCTCGACTCACATTGTTGAGGGAGATGTTCCTCGCAATAAATTCTCTTCGTAGTACGATTGAAAGACCTGTAGGTACTGATCCGTCAATCAGATTCATGAGAACGAAATCATTGTACATACACCCCAGGAGTTGACAAAGCCGAAACTGTTACAAATTCATTATGCACATCTTTGGTCGACGACTCTGATAAAGAGACTCACGTCGCAAATCTAGCTAGAAACGTCTGGCGTTACTGTCAGAGGTTACTCAAAGAAGGGAGTTGTAGTACGCACCCCGATGACGATCAACCAAGCCCTTGTTCCTCCGTCAGGATAATCGATATAATCTGGCTCTGAGGATGATGGTACGTTCTTTTCATGCGCATCCTTCTTTCCGTCAATGGTTGGCTGCGAGACTGAGGGTATGGCGGAAGACATGACTCGGAGGGGCTCGAGTGCATATAGATCAAAGCATCAGATTATATACCTCAAAGTTCTTTCATTGACTCGGAGAGGTATCCCCTGCTCCCCATTCAGAAAATGGTTTCTTTGCAATCCGTGGTATGACTCGAGTTTGGAGTCAAGTAGAACCACCACACGTATGTGTAACCAAAGAGCTTGAATACCCGACTGTGTCTAGACTCTAACGTCAGCTGTAATTCAATATGGGGATTAAAGACATTATACGGACCTTTGACCTCAAGACTGGACAAAGAATGCCGTGGTGCGTGGCCGTCGGAGGCGTTGGTTTCTATTCCCCGAGTCGGAGGAAGGACGTAGAGGATTAGAGAAATGACCGCTGACATGGTGGTTTCGGGTTAAGAAGGTGCCACTTTCCCTTTTCAGTTGCTCCGACTCGGATGTGTACGTTTGCCGAGCGCCAATTTTTCTATTTTTCAGTCACCAATGTCATCAGTATCTGGGAGGTACGGAAGACGATTGCTATCCCTAGGCCTCTCAATACTCATGCAAACAATCTATTGCCTCACGTCAGAAACGTTCCATGATTTCCAGGTCCGCTCTGTATTCCAACATCGAGCTCGTGATCAGCAAACATCCTTGAAAGCATAGAGTGAGGTCGCAGTTGCAGGTTTTGCGATCAAGAATGTGCGCGGGCTTGATAATGAACAAGATCACCAACACCCGGTTCGAAGCATCTTTCGGCGTTCTTTCGGCTGATATCGAAGAGATGGAAGAATCTCACCTGAATAGGTGCGACCTGGGACCGTCAATGTTGTACTATTCGAAGGCAAGTCGTTCCCCGCCGTTTTCGGTTGCCATATTTCCGTGGCGCCACTCCTTCGTTCAGCAACATCAATCAAGGGTCAGCTCCCTCCCTCACCTTCCCCCACCGTTTTTTAACTGTTATTCACAAGCAGTGTCCCGTTCTCTGGGAATGCATCAAACGTTACGCGAGACAAGATATCGCGAGGATGATTAGGGGAAGTGAGCATTTGGGGTGATAGAATAGAATGACATCCACGACACCAGTTGCTAGGAGTCCGACAGCTCGATAGAGAAGGTGAGAAAGGATTCTTGGTCGTGATCGTCGTGGTTGAAAATAAAGCAACGCGGGTGACCTGTGACTGTGACTGTCACACCTCTCCTCGTCATTTCGCGTCCATCATTGAAAGTGGTATTCCTCGTCACCCATCCGCAGTAAGTCTCCCAAACCTTCTACAAGTAAAAGAGATAACCGAAGTCTTTCACATAGTCGTGACATGTGCTCAGAAGCCTTCTCCTTGGTGCTCACCAGACGTCGACATTTTCAATCGCACCGACAACTTCAACGCCTCTATCTCTAACCTCTTGGCCTCAATCATTCCCTGAGCCATCCCAAACAAATAAAAACGGGTCTCCTCACTACCTCTTGGACTCTTGTCGTTGTAATTGTTCGTCTTCGTCGACATCAGCCCGTGGGATGTACACCGGCTATGTACGCTTCCCGCTACTCCGATCTAGAGAAAACACTTACCATCTCTGTACAGGTCGACTGTCCACCGCATAAGGAAAACGTTTTCACCCTCTTGGACTCACTGCCTTGAGTACCTGGTCACGTTTGTCGACGTACGAGGGGTATCATTCATTTTGAGGGATTGGTATGTGATCTTTCTTCACGAGTTTGCGACTACCAGGACTAATCTCAGTCCAAGCATTCCAGCACTTGACCCTCACATCACTCCTCTGCCTCCATCCTCTTTGATGAATCTTTTGCTCCTTCCCGTACCCACACCCATTTCGACCTTCCTGCTCCTCCCGCTGGACGTGCCTCCCCACCTCCTTCCGCCTGCAGCGTAGACTGAATCAGATACAATGGGAGATGTAAGTTTCCTGTTATCCACACATAGAACGAATACCTACCAGCATACGAGGCCTATCGTTTATTTCTAGGGACCTTGGTACGTCATACTCCTCTCCGAATCTGCCTGTACTAATACGCATTGTATCGCTCCAGGCTCATACGCTCCAGCCCCTTACTCGACACTACATCCCCAACTCTATCCTCGTGTCCCCTTTCACTACCTCAGCGGGATACAGACAACAGCGTCGTGGATTGGATTAACGTAAATGACAAAGGGTTGCAGCCATGTAAGGAAGGCTAACGTCTGTTTTGGTCCCAGGAGCCGGTATGTCACCATGATACTTCTCAGCGCAGCTCGCCAGTATTAACCCCGGTTCACCCCTCACAGAACTCGAACTCGAGAGGTCTTTCGCACAGCCTACTTCTCCCCCTCCATCCACAATTCCAAGTCACCCTCCCTTCGACCTAACCTACTTCAACGTGATGCACCCACTTCGGTTCCGCCTTCACTCTTTCGAACGGTTCAGCATTTTCTTGTTACCTCCACAAAGTTGCTGGCACCAACAACCGAATAGATTCCCCCGACGGTGCCACATTCCTGCGTACCGATTCCTTATGCCTCCTATCCCGCCCCGGAGACAGTACCGCATGCACACTCTAACCCAGCATGGTTCGATGGCGTAGTTGGTTATCGCATCTGTCTAACATCCCTGAAAGTATTAGAAGCTTTACACAGAAGGTCCCCAGTTCGAGCCTGGGTCGAATCAATGCGTCAAATGCAGGTTGATTTTTTTAGTTTTCCCTCCCGATGTATATGATTATAGCCTGTAAACTAACCAGCTTGTTTCCGCTCGCCTTTGTGATACAGGTTGCGCGTGTGAATGGGGTCGATGCTTCAACACTCGAGTTATCATCGGGCACATGGTGTACTAGTAGTTGGTTATCACATCCGCTTAGCATCCGCATATACCGTTGCTTCTGCGGGGGGTGCTGGGTTCAATTCCCAGTGTGTCCATTCGGGACCAACACACCTTTTCTTTGTCGTCTAACCCAACATCAATCCGTGGTTAACAACTTCGTCATTGTTTACAATGTTTACAACGTGATATTCGTCTCTGCCTATATAGACTAAGGATAAAACATCTACGATATTAAACCTCGACGAACCAAACTGTATGAATAACCCAGAAGCAGGTTGTGAGTTGAGACCTTAGATACGCGAGACATAACCTATAGCCCTGTCGGTACGTCGTAGGTCACTACGTCCGTCCTGCCTTCTCGGTCTTGGTGGGCCTATAGGGATGCAGCACAAATGAATACGGTTTCCCGTGTGCCGCCAAAACAATCTCCGATATAGGGAATCGGCCCTACTCTCCAGCGTTCATAGTCATGGGGGAAATTGAAGAAAATAGTAGTGAAATTGAATAAAAGAAAAGACAGATCACTGTGACTCATCAAATGAACAAGCTTTACATTCGCAATGTCCTTCTTAAACCGAAACCACGATATCAATAGACCTGTAACCGATCCCTAAGTGACGAGCAAGCATGTACTTGGTAACTGTCTCGGTATGCTCTGTAACTTACCAAATAACTGAGCGACGATCAGGGAACATTAAAGACACTCATCGTCATCCGTATTGCCTTGGGTCTCAGCGTTTCAGGGATAGACGAGGGGATATCGACTGCACGAATACGACAGAATAAATCGACTTGGCGCAGCCAGACATCAGCTTCTGAGCATAGAATGATCTTCCTAAACCCACAAACCGGGCCACTAACTCCTCGTTTGAATGCAGCTTACGCCATTCCAGATCAAGGAAACGATAATAGCTCATCGCAGAATCTTATCGTCGATCCTCCAACATCACTACCATTCCATCCCCAACTTGAACTTCCCTGCCCCCAGACATCCAACCTGTTGCTAGGAGCGGCAGCTTCTCATGCACAAACGAGATGCCGAACTCGCTCGAGTTCTCCTCAGTAACTTCCGATTACCAGTGTGCACAACAACCAACTACCGGTTTATCTTGGATTGGCTCGGTGCCAATGTCGGCACGAGTTCCTATACTGGTTCTTTCCCACAAACTCGCACGACTCGACAAATGTTGATTGAGGAGAATATATAGCTTTTTCAGATCAAGATCCTCTTTCTCTAGAGTCGGAGAATCAGCACGCAGACGACCGAATATGACACGGAGATGGATAGGCTGGGACAGCGAGTGGAGAGTCGAAGCGCTGGAAGTTGCATGATTGGTTATCTCCCGTCAGGTGTGATGCATCATGATGTGATGTACCGACTCGGAGGTGTCGGGTAAATGGGAATGAGGCAGCGTCTTGCATGTTGATCATGAGGTGAACTGTTCGTCTTTGGTCTATGTGAATTTGGACAGTTTCGCCTATTATTATTCATATCAATCTGTATAAGTATTGTGTATGTGCATGCTGTTGATTATTCATTTCGCTGGGTTTCAACTGAGGCCTTCAAGTTGCCCCTGGTTCACAGCTTCCCGAGAAATCATGCGTACGGATGATACTCTGCCTTGTTGGATCATCACGGAATCAATGATCTGATAGGAACAGAGAAGATGCATCTCGAGGTGATGAATGAGGTGCGGTATCGTTATATTGTCTCAGGAGTACGCGCTGAAAAGATGACAATCCTCTGGCTTCTACCCCATTGGTGAAGAACGACCTTTAACCATATGATGCTTCTACCCTACGCACGGATGTCCTACTTGCTAATGTGCGTTATTTTGGGTCCTCCGAGTCTCTTTAACCCGCTCACTGGAATTCTTGAAAGAGCCAGTTTCGTCTCAATGGTGTTCAGTCAGCCCGTTGATGTGGTGGAGGTTAAGGTCGTCAATCCCACAAGTACCACGTTGGTTGGCAGCACCGTTACACTGCGGGTCGAATGGCATCTAATCAATCATGAAGACTCCACTTTCGCCTTCATATTGCAGCCTCCGAGTTCTGCCCCTGGGGCTGCTCTCTTCACTGCAGACCCATTGACTGCCCTCAAAGGCGAAACTACGCTGAACTCAGACGTCAAGTTCTCCAATGTGTCTCCCGGGTGAGCGACTACCTATTTCTTGGAGTTGTGTATATCGCTGACTTCTAATACATAGGACGTATCAGTTACAGGTTGTGCAAGCCGAACCGTGAGTAATAGATTATAGCGATCATCAGATAGCGAAACCTCGACTTATACCTGAATAGTACGTCATCTGGAACGAGCATTAGCGGTCAATTCACCCAGTCGATTACAATCGTTACAGCGCCGCCTGCCAGTGGCACAACAACAACAACTTCTAACCATATATCTATGACAGACACAACAGGGTAAATTTCAATTCCATAACAATGCGAGGAACCACAAGTTGACCAACTGCCACAAGCGATGACACAACAAGTACTAGTATTCCTTCAACTTCGACAACTCCAGTATTATCGGTCAGTCGGCTCACCGACGGCACTGTCACAGTGCCCTCGCAAGACAATACGAGCATATCCAGTAGTAGTACCGCGATCTCAAGCATAGGCACTGGTAGTAATGCTAGCCCAAATGCATCCAATTATGCAGACCCAGGTATAGGGGGCCCTACATCTACCAGTAACAGGTCAGCGTAAGGGAATTCGCATTTGTACATTTGACGATACTCAATGCTCTTCTGCAGCAGGACAAGAACGCCGACAGACAGCTTGCTCACGAGCACGTTGAACAGCGAAACGCCATCTGCACTAGGGTCTAACGGAACGAAAAGAGACGATACCTCTGCCATTATCGGAGGTGTAATTGGAGGGCTTGCCTTCCTCGCTATGGTGGTTCTTGCTTTGCTGTATCTTCGCCGGCGAAGGACAAAGCGAAACAGTACGACGGAAATATTCGACAAAAACAAGATGGTCAAGGAGCGCAAATCCGATTATCCATTTGCCGCCATCCATAGTCCTTCCTATCGGGAAAAGTCTACCACAGAAGAGCGAGCGGCTGTCTTGAAGAGCTATTCAAGAGATACTTCACCTTCTCCATCCGCACATGAAACCGCCATCACTGCCTCTGACGTCAACGAGGAAATTTCGCGTACCTCGCGAACCGATAGACAGATGGAAATCGAAGAACGCATCCAACAGCTACAGGCACAGCTGATCAGCCTGTACGATAAGTCCCGGATTCCGAGATCACAAGGAAAAACTTCGCCGGAAGAAGAGCAGATGGGGGAGATACGAGAGAAGATTGACAGGCTGAATGCTTTGAAAGAGTCGGATTGGGCTCTTGATCTATCGGACGAGAGACCGCCTGACATGGATTAATGTGTCTGCAAAAAAAGTTGGGGTTTGGTTTCCTAGGGACTTTCTTAGCATCATTATACCATTTCGTTCGAGTGTAACCATGCATAATACATCGATGATGCCTGCCATTATTGTTCTTAAGCTTTGCGGGGGCCATGGAGACCGTCGAAGAGCACAGTTGTCGGGATGACATCGGAGGTCAAGAATGGCGTTCGGTTCGTGTTGGGATTTCGGCGATTGACCAGTCCGTCGGGCCTTGAAACATAGCATCGTAGGCGCACTCGTTGGCTCACCGATATCTGGTGCTATCAGTCAGTCTTCAGGAGGATTCGAGGCGATTGGGTATTATGCAGGTTTGTCTTTAATCTCCGAGATTGTGACAAGATACTGAGCCTGTTTAGGTACAATGATATTGTTCACTGCCTTCTTGATGGCTATGACTAAATATCTAGTTTTACGCACTCTCTTTGAGATAATTACGGGGTGATTTGCTATTTAGCGGCGTACCTGTGGTCGTAAGTGCACTAATGGTGAACTTGGAACAATGGAATCATGAGCTGGACCGGATAGTTATAGACCGCAGGAGAAATATCGATAGTCTGCAGGGTGTGATTTTGAAGTAGATTACTTGAGAAATAAGTCTATCATGAGTCATAAAATTATACAAGATCGAAGGACCAAGACGAGATACCTTATTGTCGCGATTACCGCTCAGAACACCTCAATATCTATAATTTGAAGAGTGTGATAAAGACCGGGACAAAGGCTGTTGAGGATAATATCGCTCTGGTCCGTCGAACATGTCAGGACTCGGAATATTCAGCGCAACTTTAGAATAGACAGGAACATGAAGTGATAAAAGGGAATATCGAGATGGCATGAAGCGCACGAACTGGGTCTTCCTGCACAATTCTCCCTTCACATCTCCATTAACAGCATGATGATATAGCGAGTGCTGGGCCTTGATAACCCACAGAGATGGATCCTCGGTATGTGGTCTCCTGCAACGGCTCTGTAGGTACCGTACGACGATCGCTGGACAGTGATAAGTGAGAAATAGTGGCGTGAAACGACTAATTCGAATAATGTAGAATCTGAGATAGTCTTCGTCGATTGGGTGGACGATTTTGCATACGACGAAGACGCGGTGGCTCGTGAAATTATTTTTCTATGGATGATTAATGTTGTCCGGACTCTGTTTCTTCAGTTTGAGGGGTAAGCGCGAAGTGAGCTTGAAATCAGAATTTCCGGCGATAAAATAGTTTGAAGTCCACGAGCTCGAGAGTTGGTACAGGAAAGGAACGGAAACATCGTCGTGGTTGAAAATCAAGCAACGCGGGTGACTTGTGACTGTGACTGTCACACCTCTCCTCGTCGTTTCGCGTCCATCACAGAAAGTGCTATTCCTCGTCACCCATCCCTGGTGAGTCTCCCAGACTCGGGACAGTGAAAGATAATATACTAAAACTTTACATAGTCGCGACATGAATCTGGAATCCTTCTCATCGGTACTCACCAGACGTTGACTTTTTCAATCGCACCGACCACTTCAACGTCTCTATCTCTAGTCTTTTGACCTCCATCCTTGGACAAACCTACGTCACATGATCAAAAACCCGTTTTGCCATCACCTCCTGCACTCTTATTCCCGAGGTTGTCCGCCTTCCTTTACACTAGCGCCGTAGGATAAACCAAGGGGAAAGCCGAATGGCAGCGGCCACGTACGTTTTCCGCTACTCTCTCTCAGAATAACGCTTATCATTCATACACAGGTCGACTCTCTACCGCAGAATGTAGTCCTTTGATCCCGAATAAATCTCTTCTGGCTCCTCCACCATACCGCTTGCTTCCTGGGTACGAGGGACCTTGGTACGTGATACCTCTCCATGAAATTGCCACTGCTCACACTCGTAAAGATCCCAATCTATGCCTACAAACACCAACCAGAAGCTCACACTACTTCCCCGCCTACATCCTCACTGCTGCACCTCATGGTTCCTTCCTCCCTCAACGCCCCACATCGACCTTTCTCCTCCCCCACTAGCTGGACGTCTTTCTCCACCTCCGTCTGCATGCAGTGCTGTAGGATAGATCAAAAGAAGCGGTAAACGTACGTTGTCCCCCACACCCACCAAGACAAACGGCTCACTATTCGTCTATAGGACCAGCATCCTCCTCACCTTGAACCAGATGCCGCTTACTCGCTCAGGAGCGGCACATCTATTCTATCCCTGGGAACATGGTGCGTCAACATTAACGCTCTCAACGCAGCTCGCCGGTACTGACCCACATTGTTAGACAAGCTACTCCCCCGCAACCTACATCCTCCTCTCCACTTTTTCTCACCCTGATCTCGACCTCACCGTCCCCTGGCTAACGGTTCGGTGTCCCTTTGGCCCAACAAAGAGATAACACAAACGCGCGATGGCTTCCCAAACCCGCCGCAAGCTATACTTTCCCAGATTCTTGTGTTCCGATTCCTCAAGATGCACCTCCCACCGCCTCGACGTGTCCACTGACAGGCAGAGTGGACGATGATACCTATGGTTCGATGGCGTAGTTGGTTATCGCATCTGTCTAACATTGTGGTGGCGAAATGGATTAACCGTTACACAGAAGGTCCCCAGTTCGAGCCTGGGTCGAATCAACAAAGGAGATACTTTGTTACCTTTTGGTACATCTTTAATTACTGCGCACTCCCTCCAGCTCTGATTCGGCAACAGAACGGTCATCCGACAATACTTGTACTAATGCTTACGATCATTGGTATCGGGCACATGGTGTAGTCGGTTATCACATTCGCTTAGCACGTTGCAGATTTTGTGCTGGGTTCAATTCCCAGTGTGTCCAATGTCTGCAGCCGAATATCCTTTTTTCTAGCAGTCATATGTAAAATTCAAGTCCCCTCATGTACAACAAATATCTCCGGGGCATACAGTATTCCTCTGAATCCGTGTTGGATTAGGTATCAACTGGTATCAATAACAGCGGAAGCTCGTCGCGTCGGAGATGGATTCTTTCCATGACCAAGCCTTGGTAAGCCATCTAATTTGAGGGTCTACACAATATTCAATCGTTTCTCAACTCTATCGCACGCTGTCACTCACATGATCGTTCTCGGAAGTCTTCACCGTAAATGATGACTAAGGCTTTCATGCCATTTAAGAATCAAGATTCGCGCCACCGTACACTACAACCTCCAACTTTTCATCTCCTACTCCCAACTCCCAACTGACAACCTCACAAAAATGACACTCAACGGCTGGCACCCAGGCGAACAACTCGTCCGCACCAAGCTCAATTACGACACCGATCCGTCTTTAACTACGCTCTATACATACATCACCACTTCGCTTGACCCGCATCAAGCGATATTCCATTCTACCAACGTTTCGTTTTCTACCTATCACAACGCTCGATGCCGATGGTCGACCTTGGGGGTCGGTGTTGTCACCAGAAGACGGCAAACCCGGCAACGGGTTTATTGACCATAGCGAAGAACATGGGGGTCTTAGGGTTCGTGCAAAGGTTTGGGACGGGGATCCGTTGAAGGAGAACGTTGGAGTGCTTTTCGATGCTGAAGGGAGTGCAAAGGGAAAGGATGTGCTTATCGCCGGGATAGGTATAGAATTTTCGACGCGGAGAAGGAACAAGTTCGCTGGGAAGATAACGAGGTTAGACCGAACAGGTCAGGATCGTGATGTTTTTGATATGGATTACTTGGTGAATGAATCCGTTGGGTACGTTATATGTTAACTGAATCCATTCATGAGAAATACTGAACTTTGACATGTACAGGAACTGCCCGAAATACATCAACGTTCGCGATTTGATCCCACATCCCGATACAACACCGTTGGTAAAACACCGCATGCCTCATCTGTCTCGTGAAGATCGGCTTCCGGACGATGTCATCTCTTTCATCTTACAAGCGGATACCGTGTTCTTCGGTACGACCTACGCAGCTAAAACAGAGGACGAGAAAATGTTCCCTTCGCATCTCGGGATGAACACTCGTGGTGGACGTCCTGGTTTTATCCGCGTCTCACCTTCAGATGGTCGTACGGTTGTTATCCCGGATTACTCAGGCGAGTTCTCTTCAATCTTAGCTCTTCACTCGGAACTCATCTTAAACCACCACAGGTAACCGACTCATGACTTCCCTAGGAAACATCGAAGCCACACCCCTAGCCTCACTCACCTTCGTTTCTTTCGAATCCGGCGATATCCTCTACCTCACAGGTATCGCCCAAAACCATTTCGGAGCACCAGCGAGGCGGATTATGGATAATCAAAATCAGTTAACGACGATCTACGTTACTGGCTTCGTATGCGTTCAGAACGCGCTTACAGTCCGACAAAAACCAGGTACTGCACCTGAACGTAGTCCATACAGTCCTGCCATCAAACTCCTAACCGAGGAATCATCGAATCTATCACTCGGAGACGATTCCATAAAAGCTCTTTTGACGAGGATCGACCTTCACAGCGAAACCATCGCCACTTTCACTTGGGAAACAACCAAACCAATATCAATCGCCCCAGGGAAAGCTATCATCCTCGACCTCGAATCTCTCCTTGACTCTACCAAACTCCAACGCAAACTTCATTCCAAAGTCCGAACATGGACTGTCTCCTCCGCGCATGTCGATGGACCTACTCGAACGTTCTCGCTGACGATCAAGTTGAAGCCAGGTGGTGCGGCGACTGGTGTGTTGTTTGATATCGCGAACGACTCGAGGTACCGTGAGCTGTTGGGTGCTGGCGATATGCGGTCGTTGGGATTGAGTGTTGGGTTTTTGGGTGTTGCGGGGGAGCTTGGGCTGGTGATATCGATACCGATTCCGATGTTGCGGAGGTGAAGAGGAAGAAGTGTTTGTGGATAGCAGGAGGAATTGGTGTTACACCGTTCCTGAGCATGCTTCGAGGCATCGTTGCACTCACTTCCGAGTTGTTGCATTGGGATGTCATTCTCATACTATCGACTCGAGAAGCGGATGTTCTGGTGCCCATTATTGCAGATATATCGAAGGGTCTTGATTCGGAACGGGTCAAGCTATCGGTTTACGTGTTCTCTAGCAATTCGTCTGCTTCACCGGGGGAGCTGCCGTTTACATATCATAAAGCTAGACTCTCGGTCGAATTCATTGAGAAGGAGAGAGAGACTCTGGATACGGAAGGGCGAGATATTCTATTATGTGGTACGCCGGAGTTCGAGCAAGTTGTTATTGATGGTTTGGGCAGGATAGGTGTGGCGACTGAGAGAGTAAAAAGAGAGATGTTTAGCTATTAATCATTACATTGTGTTGTATTTTATGACTTTTTAATCCTGAAATGACTCTAGATTTAGCTTGAGGAATACACACTTGGACATTTAGTAGCGGTCAAAGCACATTGTCGCCTCCTGGGCCGACGGCGATTGATCAATGGCATCACGGCATACCACATGCCGTCGATTGAGCCGGTTGGACGTTATGACGTTATTGCCTTTGTTCCTCTAAACCATCGAGAGCGACGGACCCACTGAATCCCGGGAACGGGGAACGGGGAACGGGGAACACAGCCAACAGGTGCAAATAAGCATCCATCATCGCGTCCATCATCGCGTCCGTCTGACTCTGTTGATGCTGTCCCTTGCAGTGTTGCTGTCAGAGAATATGCTCAACCCACTACAGTACGTTTTCAGTAAAGTGTAAGAAAATCTCACTTATAATGCTCATCACGCAGATCACCCCATGCACGGAATTCACTGAAGCCATGCGTCCTCAACTGCATGCAAGGCTAACCTTTCACGAAAGCTAGACCAACCATGGAAGTCCATTCAAGGAACAACAAGAACATCTGTAATATGCCAGTGCTCTGTGCACCCGTGAGCACGGTGTTTTATATGCAGAATGTCAGCATCATGAGGACCTGTGAGGATCTTGGTGTTATTTCATTACTTAACATGCACTATCATCCTGACTGTCAAGGTTACCCCTTCGCTGAACATACGCCTTTCAAGGCTATTCATGCAGAGCGTCTGTGCACGGACGTGAAAGGTGAATGATTCAAGATCTTCATTTCATGGACTTCACTGAACATTTGTAAGTAGTACATGCAAGTCTAACCATGAATGGTGCTTCTAGTGCAAGGACCATCTTCCTTTCATGGACTCCACTGCATGCGCATGGCTCTACGTCGTTCAAACCAACCCATGCATGACATTGATTGAATAAACCCGCAAGCTTTTCCCCTCCTTTTATGCGTACTGATAGTTGTATCCTACTCCAAACATACTGTACCAAGGTATCAGAATGTCTATTACATGTCTGGAAAGTCTCGTACGAGTAATTCAGGTTGGCATTGTGGGCTTGTCACGTCACGGTCATTCAGACCGGAAAGTTTCAACTTTCCGGTCCGAGCTACTGTGACAATGTCACATAACTCAAGCTGCGACCACAATGTTGCACTTCAGCTCCACTTCAACTTTGACAGTTGTACGCCGCATTCACAAAGTGTACTACTACCAGTTCTATGGTAGCCTTGAAGAGTATGGTGTGTGATCTAAAAATTAACCAAAGCCATCCTTTACTCATGCTCGGTTCAAGGCTATTCATGCACGATGGTTCTTGCATCCATGTACGACTACCCGTTCAAACGATTCATGGCAAACTGTATAGTTCGCAAAAAAAAGGTTTAAGCCACTCAAAAACAGCCCATCATTATGCGCCGAACGTATGATGAGGCGAACCTAGATTTTCAGCCTTCATTGGACGACCTCTTCGACACTCGTACATCTCGAGTACCCCCACCGCTCACTGAGAGACTCTGTCCTCAGTGCTCTAATCACTTTATATCAAAACCATTGCGGTGCAAAGGAAGATATACCCCAGAAAATTGTGGTCGCCTTTTTGAATATGTGCGTTTTCTGCTTTTTTTGATTTTATGCGCACTCATTGAATTGTGCATGTCTACAGTGTCCAAACAATACCTTTTCTCCTAACTCTATTTGTCAATACTTTCTTTGGCTTTCTCTATCATCAAGCACGCGCCGTTGTATCACATCCAACCCCACGTCAACCCAAATGTCCGCTGTTGGAACCGTCATATGGTGCTCATCTGAGATATGCCGCCAGCGTCAAGATACACGTACACGCGGAGCTCGAAGCTGTGAACATCAGTATTGCAAAGGTTGCTGTCTCAAGCTGAAGGGCGGGTGTAAACTCAAAGATCACAGACTCAAAGATTGTATGTGTCTCTTACCGTCAATACACCTGTAATATCACTCACTCACTGCTCCATATATCTCAGCAACCGCGACACATTCAGAAAATCCTGCTACGTCAGTTTCACTTTCAGCACCTGCACCATCGTCTGTTGTGCTTCAACCACCGGCGATTTCACTGCCCGCTGAGCCAGCAGATCAAATACAGCCCATCACTCCTCCTGTCACTCCTTCACGACGCCGTACATATGCTACTGTGCTTGACCCAAATACCGAGGCTAAACTCCAGGCTATCGGATTTCTCCAGGCGGGCTCTACCACTCCCACTCGCCATCAAGCATACCGCTCGCTTCAGAAGCATACTATTACAGTCAATCTCTTTCCTCAAGTAAGCTCTTTGACACCTAAATCAGAAATGTGTACTAATTTTCTCATCATCTCAGAACGACGCTCCCTTGCTTGCCATCGAGATCTCGGTTGCACAGGCGTCTTGGCCCTACTTCCATCCAAAAGATTATCAGACTACCTTCGAGCGTTTTATGCCTTTAACATCATTCAATGATGACTGGTTCTCGTATTACAACCAACAAGCTTGCGAGTGGAAGATAACCAGTGTTGGGCTAGATGTTCATCGACAACGGAC